CTTTAAAAGCCCTGTTCTGCTGGCTTTTGAAGCTCTAACTTTAAGCCAGGCCTTGGGTGACCAATTATTAGAGGAAAAAAAGAAATCCCTCCAACCAGAAGCACAAGATTTGTACCCTTGGGGGTTCCTCTTTATCCATCTCACTTAAAACCCTCATGAATTCCCTCCCTGAGCTGTCTGTGGTCCCAAGGACCACTCTCTGTGCAACTCTTTGTCTCCCATCCCAACCAAATTCCTTCCCAGGGTTTGTTGCACACAAACATCAACCACTTGGTTGTTCAGGTTGTTCTTCAGAACTCGGTGGCAGCAGCTCCTCAGGGAGGTTCTCCAGGAAATGGTCTGGTGGTTCCAGGCACTTCATTATTTATTTTTCAGTTGTTTGCACTTCTAGGTAGAAATGCTTGGGTTTGTATCAGGTTTTCTTGGGGTTTTATTGCCAAAATATGATGTCAGTGGCCACATGAAATAAGGCTGATTGAGGTTAGCAAAGCTTGGCTTGCTGTCGACTGCCTTTTAACGGGAATATTCAACGTGCAGATGGGCTCAGAGAGAGGTTACCCGGGGTCAAGTGAGAATTTAAATGTAGATTCATAGATTTTTAAGGCCAGATGGCACCACTATGATCATCTTGTCTGATCTCCTGCATAACACAGGCCGTGGAATTGCACCCATTAATTCCCATGTCAAGCACAATGTTACAGAAACGTGTTTCCTGCAGATGTTTTACTTGTCTTCCCTCAGGGCAACCTTTGAACTGACCTCACGTGGATCTTAGTGCTGTTAATAACCCAGATTATTGTGATATCAAAGAGAAATACTTCCAGGGTGTTCACTGGAAGCTTGGCTTGGTTGCAACTCTTTTTTTTTTCTTCTTTTCTTTAATTATTTTTTGTGAGATCAATAGAGCTGTAGAGTTGTTTTCAGCAGTATTTAGTAAAAACTCCAGAGGGAGGATCTGACAACCTTGCCCTGTGATGTATTGGCGTGTCAGAGCAGCATATGGTGAAAGGAGCAGAAAGACAAGGGGGAAAGCCAAACCAGAGCTTTTTAGAAACATCCTGATAAATGGGTTGGTGACTAAATAAAGGTTTCTTGCTACCAAAAGAGCAGCAACAACCAAAAAAAAAAAAAAGTTTGATCTGAAAATAAATCTGTTTCTTGCAGAAAATCATCATCTTTCACTTGTTCACTTTAGGAGATTGTTATTTTTTTTTCCAGCAGGATTTCTCACTTTCGTGGAGAAACTTTTCCAAAAAAGAGCAAAGCCATTTTTGATGTGGCCTCTCCAAATCCTGGCGTTGCTGTGTCAGCCAGGCAGTCCAAATGTTTCCCAGAGCACTGTGAGCCCAGTCCCTGCTCTTTGTTCACCCAGAAAGGCATTTGTTCTTTGGAATAGTCTTATTTGGTCTGACAGGAGCTCAGCACGTGAATAAAACATCATGAGACATGAAAAATGATTGCAGGATCAGATGCTGTGCTTGTAGCCAGTTTTAAGAAGGAATAAATAAAACAATAAAAGTGCAAGTGTTGTTAATGTTCATTTTGCAGCCTTAGCTGAAGTGAGTTCAGTGGCTCTGGCTCAGAGCTGGGAGTTGCAGCATTTCAAGTGTTCCTGCTCGAGATGGGGGTGTTTCAGCAGGAGGTGCTGAAATAAGGGTGGCAAATGGGGACAGTGATGGGGCAGAGAGTAGAGGATGTATATAAACAGGAAAGTGGATGATACAGAGCTTAAAAAGCCTTTTGGGGCTCAGTTTTCAATGCCTCTCCTCATTTCTCCTCCCAGCAGTGAGAGCTCATGGCTGTCTGGTAACAGAAGGTGTGGAAGGGGGTGTTGTAACCCAGCCCTCTGTGGGGCAGCTTCAGATGAAAAGGGTATAACCAAATTCTGTTGGAATCATGCATCCTATCCCAGTGTCTTTCATATGGAATCATAGAATCCTTAATGTTGGAAAAGATCTCCAAGGTCATTGAGTCCCCCCTGTGCCCCATCCCCACCTTGTCCCCCAGCCCAGGGCACTGATGTCATGTCCAGTCCTTCCTTGGACTGGATGGGGACTCCAGCACCTCCCTGGGCAGCCCATTCCAGTTTTTAACAACCCTTTCCATGAAGAAATTCCATCTGATGTATACATGGATATATGTACAACTGCTGAGTGCAGGCTTCCTTCATTTTCTCATGGCTTTTGGGGAACAAGCACTAAAAGCAATAACTCATTAACAAACTAAAACCCCACAAAGCAAACCCTCAGACATATAACATATGGAATATATAGTCTGGAACAGTGTGGGAAGGGATAGTCTCTCAGTGGAGATCTTCAAACAACAAGCCTTTCCTGACTGTGACCAGAAACACCTTGGCATCCCTCGCTTTCTTCCTGGTCAAAATGACTTTAATTTACAATCCACTGAATAATCTGCACGGTCCATAAGCAGTCTGTGAGCAGAAAGTACATTCCATGGGAAGCAGGAAGCAAATCTTTTGGGTGTTAGCCCACAGTATTTACAGCTCCTGACAGGATGCCTTTTTGAAATGAAGGTTTCAACATGGCTTAGCACACGCACGCTGTAATTTGTCTGTCATTTCTCTCAAAGTTCATTGGCATTGTCAGGTCGTGTTTAACTCAGTAGGGAAATATGGATTTCATCCCTGGTGATTTCACAGAGCATTTTGATAGCCTTAAGGTTTCCTGTTAAGCCCACAGCCTCCCATCTCCTCCCCCCCCCCCCCCCCCCCCCCCCCCCCCCCCCTTGAATTACTGCACCTCTTCATGGGACTTCATCATGCGAATGAGCCAAAAATGAATTGTGAAGGATTCTTTCAAACTGTGATTGTTGTCTTAAAGGATTAAATGTCTGGAAGACCTGGAAGCTCCCTGAATGTGTGTGTGAGGTGTCTCTGCTGACAGAGCCAAAAAATCACCTGTTTCCTCAGTGCAAGACATTCTGAGCATAACAGAGAACTCTACTTCTGGATTTTGGGGAGAAGTATGACAGGAGTATTTTGACCTTCTTCTTTCCCTTGTAATTTTTATGGAAGAGCAGGAAACTCTCTCTGCAGGACTGTGCCTGATGACCTGACAGAAAAATCTCAACTTTGTCTCAAGTTGCCCAGGCCAATGATGGACCCACCTTTACAGAGCTGCTGTTACAAACTCCTGTTTGAGACCGATGTCTGGAGAACATTTAGTTTCCTGTGCTCAACCATTTAGTTAAACGTGTTTACAGGCTCCATTAACAGAAATCAAAGCTGACAGACTAAAAGGAATTTCATTAATTTAGGAGGTGCTCCAAGCTAAAATAGAGCTCAGTGCTGGTCCTCCAACATTCCAACCTGAGTTAAGCAAAGTCTGTGTGGGTCTGGTAAGTAAATATTCCATTGCTGTGTCAAAATAAGGGTGTTTATATCAAAATGTTCTTTATCATTTGTTTTTCACTCTTCTACCATTTTGTGGGGTTTTAACTCTGATTTCATGTGCACATTCACAAGAAGTTCAGAACAGTATCATTTTACCTGATAAGTGCAAAGGCAATTTTTATAAGCAAAGCTCAGTGGTGATAAGGAAACACACGTCTCTTTGTGGTACAAATAACATAATTGCAGCAAAATGCTGCTTTTGAGAATCTTGCCTTCAGCTGCAGCCCCGTGTGACACCCACCAGAGTTGCACACACATTCTCTTCCTGAAAAAAAAAAAAGAGAGGAGAGTTATGTGTCTGTTGGTTACAACTTGAAGACAACTTTTAATCATCGGGAGTCTTTCAAAGCGTAACTTGGTTATTGAGTCGGAGGAGGGGAAGAATGAGCTGACCTTTTCTGCTGACTGCCCCAAATTGACTTTGCCAAACTCCAAGAGTGGATTATCATTGCGTGTTTCTGTCTCATTGTTTGGGCTAGACAGAGCTGGCTGTGGAATATGGGATGTGCCAGAGTGGATTACTGTTAAACTTCAATCTCCGGCGCTGGTTTCGGCTGGAACACGCAGTGCTCTGTAATAGTGGTGCCTCACGTACCCGCTGCTGCTCTGATGAGATGGGAGAGCATCCCACACTGACAGGCTGTCAGGGCATCACTGCAGTGGGAGGAGGAAGGTCTGGGATGATGTGACAGGTCTGAGGACAAGCAGGACCCACGTGGAACCGTGGCAGGGCAGGAGCAGATGCCACAGGTGGGACGTTGGAACCGGATCTTTCCCCCTGGGCTCCTCCAACACCTCAGCAAAGCACTGCAGGGCTTATCTGGGGGGTGTTTGTTCTTCACAGCTCCATCATTCTGCTCTTACTCTTCCAAAATTCAGGAGTGGTCACAGCTCCACTTCATCATTCTGCTCTTACTCTTCCAAAATTCAGGAGTGCAAAGTCGTTGAAGCAACTCATAATGGTAACAATTCTGTAGCTGTTTTGTTAATGCCTCCATAATTAGCATTTGTTCTTACAGATGGAACAACTCCCTGTAATCCAGACATAAGTATTCCATTTTAAATAGGCACCTGAATTCCAGTGGTGAGTGGGGTAAACTTTAATTACATTTCAGAAGTGCATTTCCCTCATAATCCCATACTTTTTATTACACACAAAGTAATATTTCTGCTCATTTTGGCTTGATTTTCTTCTTTGCTTTTGTCTGTTTAAAGACAAAAAATGTGAAGAAGTATAGGAAAGCCTGTTGACTTAGACAAATTAAACATGTACAGAGTAATTCATACACAGGGTTTAATTTTCTTCCTACTTCTTGGTTAAGATATAATAACTTCCTGAATCAAAATCTTAAGCTTCCTAGTGCTATGATCTATTAATGAAAATGAATGCTGGTGCCATATGAAAATTATTATTTAACATATTTCAAAGCTTAATCTCTGTTGTTATTTCAAGCTTATGTTGTTGAGCTTCAGTTATTCAGGGAAAAATACATATAATTTAATTCGATGTAGGTCTCCACTGATGGAATCCACAGACTTTGCTTTCCAACCAGGATTAACCCACTGATCTCATTTTTCCATGCAGGAAACCTGAGCATGTGGCTGACTAAATGCAGAAATGGGGCCTGACACTTTAATTCTGAAGGTGCATCACTGTGAGTAGAAACATCTCGTTACACTTTGGCTCGAGGGCCTGGGATGACAGGACAGGGAGTGGTGGCTTTAAACTGAAAGACAGCAGGGTTAGATGGGATATTGGGAAGGAATTCTTGCCTGGGAGGGTGGGGAGGCCCTGGCACAGGTTGCCCAGAGAAGCTGTGGCTGCCCCTGGATCCCTGGGAGTGTCCAAGGCCAGGTTGGAGCAATCTGGGATTAGTGGAAAGTGTCCCTGCTCATGGCAGGGAGGGGAACAAGTTGATCTTTAAGTTCCCTCCCAACCCAAACCTCTTCATGATTCTGTGGTTAATTTAAATAGTCTAAAATTACAAAAAAGGGTTCAGGCTTAAAGCAAAAATTTCTGTCATTTCTGAAAAGAAACTCAACAGCTTTAACAAGTTGCATTTTTGGTGTTTCCAGTTGACAGGTCCTTTTTCTCTCTATCTATTTATTGAGTATTATCTTTCTACTCTGCTTGTCATGACAATACCTGAAGTTCTGTGATACAGAGGCTTTGGTGACATTATTCACTTCAAAAAGTTCCTCTCTCCTTCACTTTTCATTGTATCCAACTCCCAAGATAAGTTCATGGTAATATTACATAAATCTGATCCAATTTATTTCAAGGTATATTGGTTGGAAGAAAGTACATCCTTCTCTCTATCTTTAGGAATTACCCAAAGGTGTTAAAAGTCCAAGCCTAAATATTTTTCAGAATTAGGCTGATGGGGTTTGATGCCTTTCTGAAGGAATAACATGAGAAATATGCCCGGGATAACAAGATGTTATAAGCCAGGAGGTCCAATTTTCCTGATAATTTTTCTTAATTATCTTTTGGGGGCTTTTCACTCTGGGCTACTTGGTTATATTGGTAATAAAAATAATCCCCCTGTCATAGCTTGGAAATAGCCAACAGCCAAGTAAGTCTTTTGCATCTAGTTCTGCTCATCTCCACAGACCCTGCAAGCTGCCTGCAAGGTATAATTAATTTATATTTTGTACCCCAAGGAGGAAAATTTGAGCGTTCATCAGCCTGTATGTTCTGACACTTCAATGAATTATGATCAGGGATGTTATGAGTGTTTATTTGAATCCCCCATGACAAACAAACCTGTGTTATTTGCCCTTCTTGAATGTAATAAATCAAATTCCAGCACTGATCATATTACATCCACTCATTATTATGATAATTCAGACTGGTAGAGGGCCTGATCTCGGTGCTCCTGGAAGTGGATTTCACCCGAAACAATAAAATCCAAACACAATGCCCAGGAGTTGGCTCTGGTTTGAAAGCAAATCTAAAAAATTTGAGTTCCAGCTTTAAAGTGCTTCATGATGTAGAATTTCTTCACAGGGCAAGAGAAGCTGCACAGTTCTTAGTCCAGCTCATAAATATATTTCACAAAATATCCCAGAATATGCTGAGTTGGAAGGGACTCAAAAGGATCAAAGAGTCCAAACCTTAGCCCTGCACCAGGACCATTTGTGGATGGATTGGGAGCCTGAATTTCAGCTCCTTATCTGAGAGTGGGCAGTGGCAGAGCAAAAATCCCATTGCCAGGAGCTCTTGTTCTAATTATCTGCATTATTTTGGCAATTTCAGGTGAGTTTGTAAGTAATTTTAATTTTACAGGTATGGAAAGGATGCCTTTTTCCAAAATAGTGAGTATTAGTACGAATTTCATCTGGAGATTTTTATTCCCTTTATTCCCTTCTAATTTTGCATTTTATTTTCTCTTCCAGTTCTAAACTGAGCTGTCAGAAAGCCAGGTTTTTGTGTCTAGGGAGTGTGCAGAGAGAAAAGAAAAAAGGCACATTTCTCTGTTCTTTTATGTCCTTAATTTACCAGGAGAACTCAGTCTGACCCAGGACTCCAACAGGGAGAAAATACACCTATAGAACAGCTCATGGAAAGGAAGAAAATAGCAAACAGCAATTAAATGTGGAATTCTGGTGGATTAACATGTGGATGAAGCAAATAAATCTAAAATTATATATATTATCCTTTTCAGAAATATGAATTAAGCGCTGGTGAACCTAATTAAGGTCATGAAGGGATTACATAAATCAACCACTGTTCTTAGGGCGTTGCACCCTTGACATTCCCTGTGTAGGGAATCATGGAATATTGGAATATCCAGCTCTTCTCCTGTCTTCCTTCCTCCTCCTTTAGTTTCTCCCTCTGGAAATTTGTACATGTTGCAAAAGTAACCCTGTCCCCCAGCATGCCTGGGCAAATTTATGGGCCAGTTTTTTTAAATCCAGGCAAAATATTCCCGGGAGATAAGGCAGCTCCACGTTCTTCTTTAAGAACTATCTGGAAATGCTGTTTTCTTCTGAGTCCTGATTTTCTTGCCCTTTCATATTTGCAAATGGCAGAGCCTTCACATCCCTAAATCTCGGGAAAATTCCCTTTAAAGAGGTCATCTGAAGTCACTGGCAAACCCCTGATGTTTACTTTTCACCCTGAAATATGGTATTTATTGACTTTCCCTTCTGAATACCAGGCAACTTTGTTGTCATCATTTGTAATTAATAATGCTTGGCATGTTTTGCTGCACATTTTACTGTCCATATTTATAGAACTTAATTAAATTCAACATCACATTAGGAATACATATATATTAAATCCCCGAGTCATGGTTCTTCCTTTTTTTTTTTTTATTCCTACACACACACTTAGGAAAAGAAACATTTCCAAAATTCCCATCTGTTCCGTGCGTAAATCCAGTTAATTATACACTGATTGACAAGGCTATAAAAGGACATTTTTTGGGAGATGATAGGTTTAGAGGCTGCACTAAAAATTACCATGTGTAGGCATTCTGCAGTTTTCCCATGGAAACTCTGTGTAGGAGTCAGGGAGATACAAATCATACAACAAAATGTGCTCTGACTGTCACCCCTGTGGTGTCACAAAGGCTTTGGGGTTTTTTGGCACGTATTTACCCATCCTGGAGGAAATGTGAGTGTTGGGAGGGACCAATTGGCAATTGGGCACCTTGAACGCAGCACTGAGAGCTGCAAAAATGAATTTGAGGCATTAAAACCTTGGAATTGAACCTTAAATGCTGGACTTTTGTCTAAATGTCCATGATCCAAGATGAGCCACTCAGTTTCTTTTTTAATATTTTTTTAAAAAATGGTGCATTTTATGTTTCTTAGTTCTTTCTGTCCTTTGGGGTTTTTTTGGGGGGGATTGGGTTTTGTTGTTTGTTTTGGGTTTTTTGTTGGGGAGATTTGTTGTCTACATAGACCACTTTCATTCTAGGCCAGGAAGAAGAGAACTTGTATTTTATAGATACATTTATTATGAGCAGGAGTATTTATGAGAAAATCTGGGAGAGACATTATCAGAAACACCACCAGAAAATTTTGACAGAAATGGCAGGAAATCGAAGACGGGAAAAGGTCAAACAGAAATCAGACAATTTCTTAATTGTGTTCTTAACGAGGGTAATTAAGCATTGGAACAGATTAATAATGGATGTGGTTCATGCAGCGTCAATGAGGGTCTTTAAAACAAGGTTGAATCTCCTCCTGAAATGCCTGATCTAATTTCAGAAGGAGTTATTGGGTTAGATGAGGGGACCACGAAATAAAACCCCAATCTCTGGTGCAGAAGAAACATTCCCAGTATTTCTGAGGGCCCCGAAAATGTCCGAATGGGGGAAAATCTGCCAGGAGAAAATTCCATTGTTCCCCTGAGGTGAAAGGTTGGTGTGATCAGGTTAAAATATTAACCCATCATCTAGGAAAGCTGCAGTCACGTCTGTGCTGAAATAATACCCTGAAATATTCATTTTGGGCTGCTGGGTTTGACTTTCTGGGAGGGGAGGGAGAGTTAAACCTCCTCAGCAACGTGTTCTGAGGATCAGGGGCATCACTGAGTTAAAATCTTGCACCGAGTGCCCAGACCTGGCTGTGAGGAGGACCCAGGTTGGATGTTTCTCCTCCACAACATGGTTCAGTATTCACAGAGCAACATTCCCAAGCCACTGCCCTCATTAAACTTTGAAGGTACACCTGGTTTACGAGTCTCCCAATGCTTGTACTCCCATAAATCTCTTTTAGCTAATGTTCTAGTCTAGTCCTTAGAATAATACCGGTTTTGTGGTCTTCTTTTTATTTTTTTAATGTTTTTTTTTTTGAGATGATACATGAAAAGATTCATCCGTATTTTATATTTTCTGGGTTTTTTTTAAGATTATACATAAGAGAAATAATCTATATTTTATATTTTTCTTAGTTGACCACAGTGTTCATGTGATACTCATTGATCACATCTACAAGGGGTTCCTGGCCAGAAATAATATATCCTGGCCAGGATTATATATCCCAGGGGCCTGTAGGGAGTTTTAGGTCAGTTTAAGGGGTTTTTTTGAGGATTTATATTTGATGTGGTGGGGGAAGAGGAGGGAAGGAAAGAACAGAGTTGAATTGCTGCTCAGATGCTTGGCCACAGAACCATGTCACTGCCACCCCCACAGAACCCTGTCACTGCCACCCTGTCCCCCCTTTTCCTTCAGGGAAATCTGGGGGAATCCAGGAGCACCATTTAGCCCTTGTGGGAGAAGCTAAACCTGGAAATTATCTGTTTAATAAATAAAATGCCTTTTCATGACTGGGATGGTTCATCCCCAGCAGGAGACAACTGAGGGCTCAGCTCCAGATGGAGAATGTCAAGCTCCTCATAACCCAATTAATCCCAACCAAACTTGTGCTAATTTAATGAGTTGTAGTTCACAGAACGGTGTCAATGAGGACCAAAAACCTCGGCTGAGATCTGTGGGGAACCTTAAATCACAGAAAAATCATGTTATGAGCACCTCCAGAGCACTTCTGCGGAGCAGAGCAGCAGAGCAACTCCTGGAAGACAATCCAAAGGAATTAGTAGCTGCTCTGAGTTTGTGATTGACAGGACAGCACATAATCCCTGCTCATTCCAGGGGTTTGGAGTAGATGACCTTTAAAAGGTCCCTTCTAACCCAAACTGTTCTCTGATTTCCTGGTACTCACAGGGTTGCACCCTGTTTGCAATTCCACACAATTTGGTGATATTCACGCACTGAAAAAAGGGAAGAATCTTGAAATAGGTGCAAATATTCCAACCCATTGAAAATTTAAAACTGATTTAAGAAAGTCAATAAAAAAAAAAAAGAAATTAGAGAGTGCTGAGAGGAGCAATCCAAGCACTTCTAAACCCAGCTGCTGCCCAGCGAGGGTGTTGTCCAACTTCTTGTGCATAAACTCATTTTACTCTCTATATTTTTGTGTTCAGGTAGCATAAAAAATAAACCTAACAGAGAAGGAGGTTCCAAACACCTCTCACTAATAGAAACAACAACTGTTTCAGGGCTGTATCCTAGAAAAACTCTGCAGGAAGAAATGATTGGCACAGACAATAGCTGTGTCTGGCAACTGTCACTTCAATTTGTTGGTACAATTCATCTTGGTTTGGTGATGGTGATTTACAGTAACTTCCCCCTTCACAACTGAATAAATCCCTGAAATGATTCCATGACAAACAAAGTGTAATGCTTATTCTTTATTTACAGTAGGCTTGTTAGAATATTGAAGCAACCTAGCATCAAGGAAGCATCCAAAATACAGGGCACAGTCAAACCACACATTAGAGAGCACAAAATATATGATAGAACTGTCAAAGAGAGTGTTGGACACTGGGGGCTGAGAAAGGAGAGAGATGAGGGTAAAAGAAAGGGGTTTGTAAGTGATTTTGTCTATATTATTGTGTTATTTTATCTAAAAAAGGCATTTTAATTTAATTTTTATTTTTATTTAGTAACGTGTCCATTCGTCCATTTATTTATTTATTTTAATGTTTCTAGTTCTTAATTGATCTGTTCAGTTGTTCATTTATTTATTATTTCTTTTTATTTATTTATTTTAATATTTATTTATTTATTTATTTTAATAGTAAGGGTTTGCCCCTCCTTTTTATTGAGTTACTTGGCACATTTTCACCCTGGAAAGGCTGAATGCTGAGGTTCATGAGTCCAACATCCCACCCAAGCCAGGGCTGATTCCAAAATTGGACCCTGTTGCTCATCACTGTATTGAAGGAGGCCACAAGAAGGAAGGTTTGGTGTTCCCTGCCTCTCTGCCACATCCCAGAGTGCTCCAGATGGGATGTGGTGGCTCCATGGAAGGAACAACTTCACCCCTTGACCTCGTCCCTGAGCTGACCAGAAGTTCCTGGTCCCGTTGATGGATCTACTCAGGGATGGGTGGGAATTTCAGGAGCTTTGATGCTCTAAAATCACATCAATTAAACTTCAACCTGGATGTTTTCCATCCCTGGCTCCGTGTTAACAGCCAGTTATTTCCCCCTGAACACCACAAGGGTCTCAGTGCAACAACAGGAACCTGTTTCCAAATCATGGAACTTCTAGGGGAACAAGACTTTAATTTTAGTTTGCCTTTCTTAGAACCAGGGCTCCAAAAATATTTTGGTTTTTTTTAATTCCCTCATTGCTTTTAATTTACACCAGAACCCTTAATAACCATTGCTTAGTCACCTGGAGGCTGAATTTATTTAAATCAATATCTAATTAGGTTTCCTAATTTATTACCTTTCACTTCAGAAATTTAAGAAATTTAAGCAATTAAGTGTCTGCACTGATATCCTACCATTGCTTTTTGTTTCTGCTTGACTAAGTTTGTTGTAATTGATTATTTATAGACCCAAATGTAACATTGATTTCTTTAGCCAGTGGATTTTTAAGAAATGAAATCATTACATTTTGGGGTGGAAGATTCTTTCATGTTAATTTTCTTTTTTTTTTTTCCTGCAAGAAGATGAAATTAAAGGGTGTGAAACGTGATTTTATTAAGCCACAACACAACACAAAGGTGTGTTTTCCTCTTACTTCTACCTTGCAATTGCTTTGATTACAAGGGAAAAATTGCTTCCATGAAGAGGAATACTTATAAAGGGTAGAAATCCTTATTCATAGGCAAAGGAGAATCTTTTAGGAACTTTTTAGTGTGATGGGGAAAGGGAAATCCATCATATGATATCTCTTGTAGTACTGCATTTGATATAAAATGCTTAGTGAAACCTTTTATTCCTTTTAGGATTCCCTGTTGGAACAAGATGATCTTTAAGGTCCCTTCCAACCCAAACAATTCCATGATTCCACGATAATACCCAGCACAGATATGGCTGAACAGATTTATTTTTTTGCCAGTTTTCAGGAGCTTTTCCTAAATGAGGGCACT